TGGAGCATGTTTAGGCTTATTAATAAATTTAATCTTCTGTTACATATAGTAATAAACAGGTTTCTACTTGGGATTTTGAACAACTATTTCAGGATATAGTTTAAGCCTTTTCCTTGGTGGAGTTCCACAGAATTATACAGCTCTTATGAAAAGGAAGATTAGAGCACACTGGTGAAACTGGAGTCATAAGACCTTTGAGAATAACAAAGATTTCTTAGGGGGTGATTCATATGACCAAAACCTGCACACATACATACACTAAAAGGGAGGTTATAAGCTGCCATAATTCTTGTATCAAAGCTCAAGAAAAAAATAGCTAGCATTAGACTGAATTATTTTAAGCATGGAGTCTTCTGGCTGTGTTTGCTGTTCTTCCTTCTAGCTCTGCTGCTTTATGTCAAGAACAGCCTGCACTAAGGGAACCTTGCAGCCTTCCCTGCCCCTTTGCACCATGCATGGATCCATGCAGGGCACAAACCCAGCAATGCTGCCTTGGCACTGCTACTCAATGGCCGTAGCTTTGGAATGAACCAGCAGGCACTAGCTAATCCTACATGCAAAACACAGGAATCCTGGTGTCAGCGCCATGGAGAGTGGGAGCGCTGCGGGTTTGGCAGGCAGATGGTTGCTCTTTTACACAACTGTGCAAAGTACAGTTCTTGTGATAAAACATTACAGGTTATATGAGGCAAGGGTTACATTTCCTTGGTTCTTATCTTCATGCCTGATACATTCGTTGGCAGAAATGGGAATTTGGACAAAGATTAAAGAAATTACGGATGTGAACAACTGGGTTACCACATGGAGACTGTATTGCTATTAGTGGCAGTACTGTGAGAGGTTAGAAATGTGAGGCATATAATCATTTACAGGCATGGGAGAGAAACCAGGCAGTTATTTTCTATAAACCTCAAATACTAGAACAATGGAGCCTTGGGGGATTTGGTGAGGCAAAGCGGGGTTTGGGTTCCAACTCTTACCTCACCTGCTCAGGTTTAACTATTTCTTCATACTTGACGTAAAAGTCCTCCCGAATGTCATCTGAAAGGCATATATATATATATTACAGAGCCCAAGCAGAAATAGGGAATATAAACAACTGAAACATGAACCTTATGCAAAGAAAGGTTATAAATACATACTCAATTATATGAAGGTGTATCACTATTTTAAAAGATTTTTGCATATATTTCTTGTTTCATCATCATAGTTTTAGTATCAGCTGTTGCATGGCCAGAAGAATATGGTTTGTCAACCCTCCGCAGGGAGCAAGTTTAACAAGAGGTGAGGACACAATACACACTTTATCTACCTCTCCTCTGACGTTCTGTACAGGGAGATAAGTATGTCACCATACCTCTCTGAGTCCGACATCATGACTTTGCCAGGGAAGATACTGCTTGGACCAATGTGTCCCTCAGTAGGTCTGACCTTTTCACAACAGTCCTCTTTGACCCAGTGCTCTCCCCTGCACTTCTGAGTCACTGCTTCTGTATTAAACACCTTTCTGAGTTACAGCCCACCAAGCACAGAGTTTCATAAGTGCTTAAAGGCTGGCATAGGACAGGGATGCCACTAATCAGTTCCTGGCTCTTGTTAGCTACACAGATGCATGCGGAGGGATGAGAGAGACCAGGACAAGAATATGTGTCTGCTGAACCACTGCCCAGTTCACTTCCTGGGGGTCCCTGCTGGAAGAGGGGCACAGCAACAGGCCACAGCATGGAGGGAAGCTGTGTGCCCTGCCTCCAAAGCACTCTGCATCCCACAGGATGCTGCTCCTCATCACTCTCCACTGCTGGCCTCCATGGCAGGCTGTCACTACTCTTTGTTATGCAGTAATTCCATGGCAGACTTTATGGGAAACTGAGGCTCTTACCCAAAGATAACTGCATCAAGGCCTAAAGTGGGGAGTCTAAAGGTAAGGTAGGCAATAATTGGTTTAGGTACTTAAATTAATCCTTCGGTATCCCACCCAAAGCATCCTGGCATCTCTGATCCTCTGCTGTACTCAAGACGACTTTTCAGTTCCTCAGCAGTGCTATAAATAACAACAACATATTAAAAAGTGCTGTAAGTACCAGACCAACTTTTAAAATTGTATCAATTAGTCCACCTAGAGAAATTTCACAAGAGGCATTTTCAGTATCTCACATTTAATTTCTCCTTCAAATAGAGTCTCCAAAACATTTCTAACTTGCCTCTAGAAGAAAGACCCTGAGAAGTACTGATCTGGTGGAAACACCTAAGAGGTATGAATGGTGATAACAGTTACCTACAAAGAATATGCCATAGCAAATACCGATTGTCTCTCTAAATGTTCTCTTTTGTCAAGGTTTCTTCTTACTATTTTGATTTGGCACTCATCTCTGTCTAAACTCTTTTGAAAATCACTAAACAACCAATTTCATTCACAGAGAAAAGGGGAATGCATTTCCAATAATTTTCAAGTTTTCAGTAGAACTTTATACTCCATATAAAATTGATTATACACAATATACAATATGAAATAGAAGAGATGAAAATACTTTGTAATTAAAGATTTGGAGATAAACTTGCAACTGAGGAAGGCATAATTGATCTCTGGAGACTATTCAGTGCGTGCTTACTGGTGGACTATTTTCTCCACTCTGGATATTTAATGCATCCTATTGATTCAGTATATCCCCCAAAAAACTACTTTGGTGTCATAATATGTCTGAAAATAGCTTAGCCTTCACTAGCTATCAAAAGCCAGAGGAACTAAGGTGTGGCACTCAGAAATTTGAGATTGCTTTTCACTAGTTTTATAATGGCTATTGCTAAATTGTATTATTACCCTGTAAGTTATTATTTTTCTTGACATGTGAAGTGTGGGTTAGTTGTTAAGGAGAATGACGCTGTGGTTATTAGAAAAATAGTGAAAGTATTTGCTGACTGCCTCAGTCTTTCTAACTAGATAACAGTTCTTGAGGCTAAGCTACTGCCTGGGACTTTGTATTTTAGACAAAAAATTCAATATAAGGAAACTTATATGTAATCTTTTTGTGATGATCCCTGCTTCAAATTGACAAAAAGATTAGGTGTTAAAATCAAGTAAGTTTTTGAGACTCTGGATTTACTTAGGAGATTGAAAAGCTTTTACTATAAGAGTTTTAAAAACTCTTATCAAATCCTTCTCTGCTATCTCATTTTCTTCCTGAAGGTTAGGTTGTTAGGTGCTACAGTTTTATCTAATGTACAAACACCTGTATGTATGGACCTTTAAAAGCAAGAGGATTACTCCCATTTGGTTCATTGTTACCTGACCAAAAGCCTACACAATGAGCAATCTTGTAAATATTGACTACGCCCACCAGGAACTATAACTTATACTACAGTAACAATATTGAAGGATGAAAAGAGGAGACAGAACTGCAACACATAAAAAGCTGCCAGGCAATAAACAAACACACCAAGGGGGGAAAAACAGATCCTGTCTTCGGAAAGTTGTGGTATTCCCAACTTTGCAGATTTAATACTGTGGTACTTTAGTACCTTGAGCTGGACTTGACCTGAAGGCATGCGGGTATGGAAGAATCAAATTCATACGGGGTATCTACACAGCTATCAGACATCTGCTTTCTCTGACAGGGACACTTCATTACATTATGGCACATCAAAGTGCTCCCAGAATGGGAAAAGCTTATGGCTCTAGGTTGCTGCCTGGCAGAGGAATATGCCTCCAAGTGGGACCATTAAGCCCAGGCCACCTGCCCTGGTCCACCCCAAGGCAGGAGCATAGGACAGTGCTATGGCCCCTCTGCCTTTCAGTGGCTGGGGGTGTACCTGGCAGAGCAGCTCACTGGTTCTGCTTTTATTTCCCAGTCTGGAAAACACTTAATGCTGAAAACTGGTGTTAAAATAGATATAAAAGCTGCTAGTAATGCATTTTACTTAGGAATTCTGCTACTTTTTCACTATGGATCTGTATTTTATTCTTAGCTGCTAAACTTCTCTATGTGAAAAAATATGCTACAGCTTGAGCGTGGCAAGAAAGATGAGACAGCTGCTAAAGAGAAAAATATGATTTTTTTATTCTGCTTTTGAATGCTCCAACCAATGTTCAACTAATATTTGGGGGGTTGTGGATTCTTGTTAGGAGATATTGATGATGGAGTTAGGACTTTTTGGTGTATCCTTTCAGTGCAAGAAAAGCACACCTGCCTGTGGTGGGAATTCAAGTAACTAAGGAATTCGGTCACTTACTTAAGCTGCACACATGTCTGAATTCAGGCCTTGGTAAAGCCTAGTTGGCAACAAAGTCTTTGGAAGGACTTTGCACACAGCCTCTGTTTAAGGTAGTGTCTCTATTGTGTCTCTTACCTTATGTCTAAAAAGGAATTTCACTGCTTCTGATACTCACAGTGAATGAAATGTTGCATTAAAGAAAACAACTCGGTATGCAGAGAGGATGAGAAGGTAGTCAGTCTTCTGTTTTGCTATTGAGCACCTGGTATTCTTTTATTTTATATTACACAGTTGTTATCCCACAGGTCAGCCTGTGGAAAAGAATATAAAGATAATCCTATAATAAAGGCTCTCCAGTTTAGAAGATGCTGGAAAGAAAATAAACCAGGAAATAATTTGGAAGTTCTTACTTCCTTTGGAAGTACTTTGTATCTTGTGGATATCATCAAAGAGCCCTCTTTAGGAGAGATTCAGACACAGTGACAGGTAAATTGGTAGGACAGGGCACCTCCAAGGAAACTGGTAGTGGCAGGAGAAAAGGTGAACAGGATGCAATGGGTGTCAGTCACCATGCCAGACCACTCTGAGAGGCAGCAGCTCAGCAAGTTACAGAATTACTCACACACTACAACCTCTGCTGTTACCTTCAGCATTCATGACATGATTAGATATGCCAGACTCAATCAAGGCACCATAATCAGGCCCACAGACGCAGCAAAAGAATATGTGGGCTACTAAGAAATGAGAAATTCAAGTTCTTTGCAAAAGAAACATGCTCATACAGACCAAAGTGGTGAAAAAATGTGATGATATTCACTTTTTACATAAACACGTGAAACTTTATAGACTGAAATGCTCAATTCATCCCTACTGAAGTAAGTAAAAAACTCTGACCCTCAAAACCATCTATCAATGAGAAATTAAAAAAAAAAAAAATCCTAGAAATACACCACTCAGACTCATGACATTACTTAATTCTACTACAGTCATTTCCACATCAGGTGACAGCAAGAAAACGAAATTTTAAAGCAATACTGACAAGCCACAACAGTGTCTTTCACACACTAATTGAGAAGTTAGCTTAGAGAGGACTCAACATTATAACTTAGACTGGAATAAGTCTCTGTTAGTCAAATTCCTCACTGCAAAGCAGGAAGGCTTGAACATGAAGATACATCAGAAGATCTTTCACTTGAATCTTTTCAGTGTCCTGACTTCCTTCTCCCCTTCAAACAGATTATTTAATCCAAGCTGCTAGTCAGCAAGACTTTCTGCATTAAGATCTCTCCAGTGCCTCAGGAAATGCCTGGAGACCTCCTCACTCAAAACGAAGCAGTTCTTGCATCTGCTGCTCATCTGAGTCAATTGTACTGGGCACAAGTGCACATCACAAATTATAGACCTGGAAGCATAAAAATGTGATCAAAAAATTATAATGATCTTTTTTTCTACCAAACATACCATTTCAAAACTTTGAAAGTGGATTGGTTAATCTGAAGTCTTTTCATTTTACTCAGAGAGTAATACAATATTCAGCAATGCCAGCTCAACAATCACCTCAAACAAAGCTGCTTTAAAATTCTTTCTGCAGATGATTCATGAAGTAAAACAAATCTTTCTTTCTTCCTTGTAATAACAGCCTCATCACAAGACATCTGCTTTTTACTTATTACTTCTACTGACAGCCAGTAAAAGAAAGGATTCTGTAGGAGTGGCCTCACCTATGAGTCTACATATCTTTCACCTCTCCCAGTGGGTATATTCTGAAAGTGCCAAGCTACTCTATTTAAATTTAGTGGCAGCTGATTTGAATAGCTTTGAAGCTACACAAAACACAAAATGAGTTATCCTCTGTGGAGAAAGGCAGGAACATGAGAAACAGCTCCTCGTTGTGCAGGTTCCAAGTCACATATTCTCCTCCCACCAATTTACTGTCTCTAAATTAAAAGTACATCAGCCTTTTCCCTTAACTATTCCAACTGTAAAGCATTTCCAGATCCCTACTGATCTTCATCTAAATTCTAACAGTTGATGTCTTTCTAATGGTTTTCAACACAATGATCAGTAAAATCTCCTATGATTTTGTAGCTTTAGTATATCTTAATTTTTTAGAGTATTTTTGTTTCCTAGCACAGACATTTCTGGGTGCTGTCATGCTGCATCAACACTATCATAAAAAAAAAGCTGAATCTCACCTGGAAACAATTTTTCTATCTCTGTAAAAAATGAATAGTATTTGCTTTTTACAATTTGATGCAGAAAATCTGTGTTCTTTTTCATCCAAGGCAAGGCTTCTCCATTAAGTTTCTGTTCTAAAACAGAGAAGAGAGGAGAACAAAAAACAAAAGCTCAATTTTCCTTTGGACTGTACAGAGAAACTAGTCAAGTCTTGGGGCTGGGAATGTGGGTATGGAGTAAAGTAATAACATCATCCAAAGTACAGCTTGTATATTTAGAAAAGCCTTTTTTTTCATAATAAGTATATTGGAACTAATTGCACACGATACTCACTGTACTGGAAATAATTATACAACATTATGCATGTAGGCAGATATTATACAATGATGGTTTGTCTCGAAGTCATATTTTGGGTGATGTGCAAATGAACGCTTCTGCATATGATGCTGTCAGCCTTAGAATGCCTTAGTCCTTCCCTGTTCCACGGTTGCCTGCAAAGGAAAAAGACTACGGATCGCCCTACACCGCCAGAACACATTCATTGGAACTGAAGGAAAAAAAGCTTCAGCTGAAGGTGGTGAACACCTCATAAACAGACCTGATTTGTCACGCTGTTACACTAGAGATTACACTGTGAGAAAAGATTTATATCTTTATCAGTTTTACTGATGCGGAAGGAAAATATTTTGGGTTTCTGTTATAAACAATGCATTAGCTCTATTGTTGATAAGACTAAGCACACAGGACTGGAAGTAGAGCAGATATTGGCACTAAAAGAACAAAAAAATGAGTTTAAATGTCGAGAAAGACAGACACTGAAAATGTGCTCTTGAATTTCAGGTCAAAGAGTAGCATTAGTGGTCAGCTGAGGAGTGCAGACTGCGTAATAGCAGCCTGCATTATAATAAAGCTCATCTCAGTTTCGATCTTAGTTTCAAAATTTTGTGTATGTTGCTGGAAATGTTTACAGTCCATTATACACAGCAGCACACTCAAAGCATCCAGGATCATACCAAATACCCAGTTTTTCAAAAAACCTTCTCAGCAACACAGTGCTCTCACTATCAGCCAAGTGAACTGGGAACATGGATCCCAAATAACCTGGACAGGTTTGCCCGGATTCATAAGACAACAATGTTAAGTTTGATCTGATATAATAAAGTTTGCTCCAAAACCAGGCTCCACTGCCCCAAGAGCAGGAATGGGGCTAACACAGCTGTGAGCTGTGCTCCTTGGTGCTACCTGTCACTGCAGGGGCTCCTCAGGTGCTTCAGCTCCAACTTAAAGCTGTGGAAGACCTGAGGCTGGGTAACAGCACAGTGGGACCAACGTGGAATCTTGATCTTTTCGTGCAACTGCCCAACATGCAACATGCAGGGTGGTGCATGAAGCCTCTTTATCCCCTCAGGTCTGAAATAAAATACAGCTTGGCTTTTGCATGAGTGATACACCTCATGAGGCTCCCATTGCCAAGTATGAGACTTTTGACCTCCTGACTTTTTAACTAGTTTTCAACTAGAAGAAAAGATTATTTTCTTCTCCCTCAAACTAACCCAACCAGCCATCTCCAAATCTACAATAGTACCAACAACAGCATTGCTTTCAATTAGATCAGCCTTTACAATTTCAGCAAAAAACATTACTTTTTAAAAAGTCATGAGCCCTTAAGAACAGCACAGTATAAATTAAATGTTTGTAATTTTAATGGCCACTGCTTGTTTTTGTTCTGTTAATGCTGCCCTTTCTGTAGAAACTTAAATCATTAAAAAAATATTTTTGAGTGGTTTTACTGTAATATTTGATATCTTCCACTAATGCATTTTAGATATATTATTCTAATGTGTTGGGAGCTTTGAGGCACCTCATATCCTGGAGGAAAGACAATTAGGCAGTTCTTGTCAGTATCGTCATTCAGTTAATGAAATATCTAATAACACAGTTCATCCATTAGTGGGCTATACCACAATTTAAATACCTTACAAATTCGCAAAGCCTTAGCTTATCCTACTGCATACTAGCCGTGCTTGCCCCTAAGGCCTATGAAGAGCTCTGTGTATACAACAGAGTCCAGGAGTAATGAATTTCTGCTGCTCAGCAGCGAGAGCCTTTCCCTTCACATTAATGTTCAGTGCCTTTTGTCTCTTCATTTTGTAAAGACATAGCACTGATAGGCCTTCCCTCTATTTTGTGTCAACGCCTTGACATGCTCCCACATCCACTTTCCTGAGACAATGCTGTTCTGATTCGGTCCAGGACAATTGCCAGGTAACACACATTTTCAGCAACTTCACGAGACGGGCCTGTGCTTGGCACCACGAGATGTGGGTTCGGCAATCCAAGAGATGCAGAGGAGGTCGTCTCCGGGAGATGAGGCGTCACCTCTCTGGGTCTCACTCCATCCACTCCAATCATAATTTTCTTTGCGATGTGTGCTCTGATCTATAATAAATACACAGCAGCGCTCACACACCGTCCGTGCTTTCACTCAGGAGCTTTATTTAGGCGCTTTCAGTCACACAAGGGTCTCTTTCCACTCGGAACACCAGCCCTGCCCTGCCCTGCGCCGCCCTGCCCTGCCCCGGCCGGGCCGCGGACACCCTCCCGCCGCCATGTCGCCTTGCGCACGCGAGCGACGCCTCCTCCCCCGTGCCCGGGGCGTGCGCGGAGAGAGCGGGGCAGCGGCGCTCGCGGGCGCTGCCGGCGCAGCCGTTCCCCGCATTCGCTTTCCCGAGGGCTCTCCCTCCGTTCTTCCCCCGGCAGCCCCGCGCTGAGGACACCTCGGGGCCGCCGGGCCGTGCTCAGCCCGCGGGGGCGGTGCCTGCCGACGGAAAGTGCTGAGTCACGGCCTGACGCGCGGCCGCCGTCACGTGCGGCGCTGGGATCGGGGCGGCCGCCGCAGCGGCTCAGAGTGCAGAGCGCACCCGCGGCTCGGAGCGCACCCGCTCCGCTCGCTACGGCTCCGCTCGCCTCCCGGGCCTCCCCCGCTCCCGGCCGGCATGGGGCTGCTGTCGCAGGGCTCGCCGCTGAGCTGGGAGGAGACGCGGCGGCACGCGGAGCACGTGCGGCGGCACGGCATCCTCCAGTTCCTCCACATCTACCGCGCCCTGCGCGACCGCCACAAGGACGTGCTCAAGTGGGGCGACGAGGTGGGTGAGACCTCGGCCGGGCGCGGCCTCCGCCGCGGCCTCCGCCGCCCGCGCGGGCGGGCGCAGGTGCCGCTCGAGTGCGGGCCGGGCCGTGCCCGCCGCAGTGCCCGGGGAGGGCCCGGCCCTCGGCCGCGGCGGCTCTGCGGGAGGGGACGGTGCGGGGCTGCCCGGCGGGGCTTTGTTTACCCCGCGCACACACACACGCTCGCCGCCTGTCGTTGCGCAGCACGGCTGCCCTCGCATTGCCTCTCGTTACCAGCACGGCTGCCCCACTCTGAGCGTTTCCGAAACGCTAACACAACTTCCAGTGTTCCCGCCTGGCAACGGTCGGTTGGCCTGGGCAGCCCCTCGGGAGGTGTATTCCCGGGGCGGTGATGCCCGGCAGCACTCGCTCCTTCCCCGGAGTTTATGTTTTCTGGAGCGAGGTCTGAGTGAAGCATGTGTGTGCCTGGACTCCACAGCAGTGCCAGCTCAGCCCCAGACTCGGTTTTTGGGAGGCGAGCGAGGGAAGCAGGACCGAGGATGTGCGAGTGGCTCTGCAGTGGCAGCCCTCTCGCCGCGCAGTGTCCCTCCTGATCCCCGTGGAAAGAGACCTGCCGAGCCTTGCTTTACCCCAGAGTCTCCTGGGCGTCCTGTACATGTCAGCCTGCCTTCCAAACAAGGATCAGGATGATTACTCGGGTCATGACTGGAACTTTGTTACAGGTGCTTTGTGCTCGAGCACCGTAACTTCAGCCACAGGTCTTAGGCGTATTGCCTTGTAAACCTGTGCTGAATTGCGCCACAGCCTGACAGCACTCTGCGAGAAGCAGAGTCTCCTCTATTGATCCGTAGGATTGGCCGAGGGACCCAGCTTCCCCTGGAGACAGGGAGCAGCTTCACATGTGCTGCACTAGTGGCTGTTCTTGATCGTGGTGTTGGTGAGGTCCAGCGTTGGTCACTTAAGAGGTGCCTGTGATGTGACTGCAGGGCAGTTGGAAGAGCAGAGTAGGATGTGAACAACGTGGAAACTTGGCCATTGCATCTCTGTGTCATGCACAGTTTGCTTTCTGAATGGCAAAGGGACTTGTGAGAAAACTTTATCCAGGTGGTACCAGTAGCTGTTCACAGATGCTCTTTGCCAAAGGAAAATGCTGTTCACCATGAGCACTTTGAGAGAACTTGTCTCTTAAAGTCTGTACTTCTTTTAAGGAATTCCTGTCACTGTTCACGTAACAGCAGGAGCTGCTTCTGTGAGTGAATGGGGGCTTGGCTACTAAAATCTGTTCAGTGAAAATATGTGTTGTCTACACCACAGAGTTTAGCAGCCAGAGTGGCATGGACTCAGGAGATTTAAATATACTTTTATCTACCCCCATCTGATGTCTCTGTGTTCCTACGTCTTATATGACTGAAATTATGCTGACAAAAAAACCTCACAGCCTTGAGTCCAGGATTATAGACAGTCTGCATATTGCTCTGAGACTTAGCTTGAGGGTTTTCTCATTAATCTTTAAGATAGGATGCTCATTTTTCTATGGATGTTAGATTTTAGTTCTCCTTGCTTTCTCAGAGTGAGATTTCACAAGATAGCTAAGGTTCATCCATTAGCAAGCTTCCCTTCCAGGTTCCAGACTTGTGTTTCTGCTGCCTGTCTTGTGTTTTTACTGGCCATCTGAGTTCGAAAAATTAACCCAGCAGAAAACTCTTCTCCTGTTCAGTTTTGAGGATGGTTTGTTTTCTCAGCAGAGCTTCAGCTGTTTCACTGCTAGATCCAACAAACTGTGCTTAATGTGAGGAAAGTAGCAGGAGCATGTGGAGGAAAGGGTCATGCAGAACCAGCCTCTGCAGCACCCACAGCTGGTCACTTGGTAGTCTTAACTGTGTGGTGAGACTGGACTCTGGCAGCCTCTTTCTTCCTTCAGCTGGGGGACCGTACTGAACAAAGTATTTATGCTCAGTAAATAGTGGTGCATTATGTTTAAGGAGATTCACAGTTTTCTTCTATCATGCCCAGCATGGCAGGAGGAAGAATTTTAAGAGCAGTATCATTAAAGCTACTATTTTGATGAGAAGTAAGAGCAGTTTTTGAAATGCCTATGAACATTCAGAGAAGGTCAGGTAACCCAGTTCATCAACTACCTCTTCATTTTAACAAATGATAATAAACTCAGGTGTGGCAACTTACCTTTGTTCTACTGTGTTATGCAATTATATATTTTTATGTAACACAGCATTTAAGAGTGTGTTAATGGACCAGAGACTTGTAGCCAGTCTGCTCTTGTTGTGCAAACACAAAACTGTACCTCTGCCCATAACTTCCTTGAGCTGTGCTGTAGATAGACTAGTGCCGAAAGCAGTAAATTTGTTTTCCATTTTTCCTCTCAAATATCTAGTTATTAGAAAGTGGCGCCACGTTTATATACAGCTTAGATGAATCAACTGACTAATTGGACAGTTTTCATAAAAAGCCTTTTGTGCACTTTGACCTTCATGTGTAAAGTCTTAGCCTGAGGGTGTTTAATTATTTTAAAAACTTCTTGAAGATAGAAATCAAGAATGAAGATGACACCCCTCATGTAATGGTAGAGATAAAATCAGAAAAAACAAAATTACTTTTGTGTTCAAGAGATGTTTCTGAGACAATGTTCGGTGAAAAATGTATTTTCTAATTTTTTTTAAGGAATGCTCATGAAGAAAAAAGCCAGCTTTGTTAGTACATGCTGAGTTTGTCTTTCAGGGCATATGTGTGAATACTTTAAAGGTTGTCACCATCTAGGTGATGCCATTGTGAAAAGGAAATACTGTGTTTACTCAGTGGTATAGAACTAGCCTTTGCTTTGGTTTTGTTTTCAACAGGACTCCACTTTTCAGTGTGTGTTGTAAAACTCATTATAAAACTGTGGTGGTCCTTTGAGATCACAGAATCTTCTGAGTTGGAAGGGACCCACAGGGATCATCAAGACCAACTCTTAAGTGAGTGACCCATACAGGGATCAAACCCACAACCCTGGTGTTATTAGCACCAGGTTCTAACCAACTGAGCTATTCTCAAGGATGCTTGTAACCTCCTAGGGCTTCCATTTCCTGAGATCCCAAGGGAATGAAACTGGGAAATCATCGTGTGCTTTCTGTTCCTTGGGTGCCAGGCAGAAGTGTTGAGGCTAAGTGCTAATGGCTGGTGGCATCTGTTTGGAAGGGAGCAAGACAGCATCACAACTTGCATTGCAGGGTAGCATTCCCTAATACTCTTGTCTTCTCCAGAGTAAAGAGCTGGAAAGGTCAAAACACTGTTTGTGCTGCCTCTTGAAAAGTCAGCTCTCTTACTGCTTGCAGGGTTAGTAGAACCAAGAGCTGTTATCTCTTTTGAGGTAAGTTCTTTTTTACTCTGTTTTCTGCAACCGTGAAGTCTTTGCAATGGTAAAAAAAAAAAAGCCTACAAAATGTGACTGTAACAGAATAAGACTTGCTTTAAAAAAAGCTTTCTAAAGGTCTCCTTGAATCTGCATTTGCAGGTAAGGTCTTTTGCCTCTTAATCATCCTTCTACCTCATTTAAAACTGACAGTTGGCCTCTCTGTTTATACTTGACTTCTCCTGACTGTGGGGAATACAAAACAGTGAACTATCTCATTATCCCTCATCAAACCCTGCTTCACTATCTGTGTCTTAATGCTCACAAAAATTGGGCAACAATTAGATCTGCTGATGAGACCCTGTGTATAATAGGTATAATATAAGGTATAATCTCCTTGTGTTTTCATCTTCCTCTTCCGTGCAATAATGTATGCTAAACTTTGGATTTGCAGAGTCACGACCATTAAGTTCTATTTTGTTTTGGTTTTTATTTCAGAATTAAAAACTTGCAACTTTTCAATATTGTGTGTTAGGACTCCAGTAGAGTTAGCAGATACTATGCGAAACAATTAGTTTGTGCAGCTTGGCAGATCTTAGTAGTTTAAAACTAGAAGAGTTTAAAGGGTTTGAGCCAAAACCTATTCTGCTGCTTCCTACTTTTGTCCCAAAAAGCTGTCTTCTGTGCCAGTGCATTATTAGTCTCATGTGCTGTTTAGTGCCTCTTGCGTGCTGATTGCATTCCTCTAAGTGATGGACATTGCTTAAATTTCTCTTTGCAGCTTTATGCAGACACTCAGATCAGACAAGTGGAATGGCTGGCCCTTGGCTGGGCTCGCTGCTGCTGCTTTGTTCTGAGTGTGCACACAAGTGTACGAGTCACGGCAGCTCATGCTTAACCACAGATACATGTGTTCATATGTGCATGTAATACTTGTCTTCCACAGTCTGCAAAGAATAAGGAGGAGCTGCTTCAGCATATGAAAATTTCAAGAAAGGTGTGCTGGAGGGAGATCCCTCAGAAGGAGGGGATGTAAAAAGCAAGCATGGGCAAAACACAACAGTTTTATTTGAAAGTATATGTGAATGAAATGGGAATCTAACTTTCTCAGCCTTGTTTAGTTAAATTGGACACAATGACCCTTTTGTTGTGTATGAGTCTTATTCCTGTCAGTGTTGGAACCCAGCACACAATAAGCATCTTCAGCGTTTAAAAACTTGTTTTCTTAATGGAAACTTGAAGTGAAATTTGGAGACCCTTAAATAGGTTTGATAATGATGTGTATGAGGCAGCATGAAAAATATGCCACTGCACTGCTTGCAAGTTGAAATCTTACTGAGTCAATTCTAGTTTGTTTTTGGGTTTGGTTGTTTGTTTTATTTTCTTCCTGTTACTTCTTTCTCAACCCTTTTTAAGCTTCTTTTGGTCTTTGTCCTGTACATTTGATTTATTCCCCTCCTTATCTTTTAGTTTTTTAATTATACCTTGTAAATAAGTTAAATGAGAACTAAAAAGAACAGTTGCTAATCAGCACTTCCTCGTGCAAGAAGCAAAGCAGCCCTTCTCAGGTGCTGCAAGAGGCCAGAGGTTTCTTACCAGGATGTCCCAAAGGTATTGCTCCTGTTCAGAAGATGCGTGACTCTTGAAAGCTTTCTCCCTTTTCCTAATGAAAGGCTGGGCTGTGAAAAGAGCT